TTGTTCACCTTCGACTGTGCTTTCAAAGCAGAAGAGATTCATGCCCCGCTAGAAAGAAAGGAAGGGTCATGAGTGGAGTGTTATTCGGATAAAGCGAGTAAAGGAACCCATTGTTCTAGAGGACTCGGAGCCGGGTTTTAGCGAGAAATCAACAAAGCAAGCCCTTTTCTTTATATACGATGAACCGCCTTGCGTAGATGAGGAAACTCAGACTGCAAGCTCCATGCTCTCGAGAGAAAGCAGGTAGAGAGCCATGTTGAAGTTGCAAACAATAGAAGCTCTTGCCAACCTTAGAAAAAGACTGAATGGACCTTTCCCAACCTAGTCTCAGGGTGGAATAAGAAGACAGAACAGAAAACTCGAGTAGTCTTGAGCCTTCACTTCGCTTCGCTTCTAAAGTTGAGGTCAATTACATCGAACCTAGTGAAATCTTCGTTTGTGTCCGCAATCCGATCGAGGCTTCAAGAGGAAAAGTCAGTATCTGGGCCCTAGAGTCAAGCTCAAGAGGAAAAGTAGATGGTCCAAACCCTATCAGTAAGAAGAACTTTGCTGCAGGTTCAATGCAATTGTCTCGACGTCTTGTTTGGTAAAAAGGGGATGTTTACCCATCATAGTCTTGCCTCTAACCGTTCGACCGGGGATGTCTCATTGTTTTCAACATGTATGTTTCCTTTGCTGATCTTGAAAGTTTCTTTAAGTTGGTGCCACGCCCCCATGGTACAAAACAAGACAAGTAAGTCATTCGTATTGCACTATATCAAGTTGATGCCGGAAGGTTTATTTTAGCGCCCGAGACGATGAAAAAGATTTTCCTACCTTCCGGTCCCAGGTTATCAAGAATAGAATAAGAGCAATTCATCTGTATCCCTTGACTCCGCTGCTATTGAATCAGCTGTTATTGTTCGAGTTTCCGCAGCACATTCATCTTAGTAAAATAGTAAAAGGAACTGATTTAGCAATGTTGCCACGTCTCTTGCCTTAGCCTGATGACTTTCCTGCTTGACTTGATTGCCATTGCCTTTATTTAAACCATTACTGGTTATTTACTGCTTTACGGATGATAAGGAATGACCGGTCTGCGTCAATAGTAGAAGGCCTGGGGAATAAGAAGTCGAATCCCTTGCGGAGAGATGCAATTAGGCGTCGCTTTATATCGAATCACCGATTCTGAACTTGCCTTTTCTACTCGACCCATATAGTATATGGCAGGGGGATGAATGCAAAGGAATTGACGTGGGAGGCTCCTCAATTATTTCATTCAACATGAGACTTTATATCCGTATGGTCTTGCTCGAATGCCCACTTAGATCACCAATGAATATTTCGCTGTTGGGTTAGGTTGCCTCTCTGCAATGAGGGAGACTAGTGAATGTGTTCCTTTTTTGAGTGGGCCCCATAGAAAATCTGGGACGTTCCCATAGAATGGTTGGCGATGTCACTTGAGGGAGAAAGAGACAGGATAGCCTGGAATGAGACTGCCTGGCTTGAAGGAAACTCTGACACAGGACATATCCCGAGCTAGCTTCCTTTGCCCTGGATTTGACTTCATCTTTTTTGAGTGACCTCCAACCCTTTTTTCTTTTTTCTGTAGTTTAAGAACTAGAAAATGCATGACTGAGAGAAGAAAGAGTTTTGCTATGGACGTATGGAAACTCCTATCCATAGGCCTTTTTATTAGCAAGGCGCCAGAGAAGGAAATCAATAGCTCGTCTTGGCACTCGAAACGCTGGAGAATATTTAGAAACTGGCAAGGCCAGTTGTCCCACAGGCTGAAAGGTAGCTCACGACTATATTTCAAGGTTGCTCACCTGGACGGATCGACAGCCAACTTCCACCCCTCCACATGCCATGCCGGTAGAAGATGGAATGGGACTCTCCACTACTGAGTGACTACCTGGAGGCAACGCAAGAGAAGCAATGGCAAATCTCTAAATGAAATGGCTAAAAAGTAGCATTAGGGCTTCCTGCCTCACTCGCTGAAAAGAGGGCCTTCTTTCTTCTTGCCAACCATTGCCAGCCATTCGCCTTGTCCTCATGGAAAAAGAAACCTAGGACTCAAGCATTCTCCCTTTTTGGTATTTGGTCGTCAATTCATTCGCAATGCCGGCCAGCAGAACAGCAGGCTTTCCACTTAAGACAAGAGGAAGTCAAAAAAGAGCTGCTTTTCTTAGGGCACATACAAAAATAGAGCCCAAGTTCAACTTTGTTGCCCACCGACGACATCTGCATGTTGAATGCGGATCTCCATAAACTTTCCAAACTTAAAGAAAGAATGGACACCCTGAGAGAATGCGATATCAAAAGCGGAAGTGAAGCCGCACCTAAAGGGTCGACGAAGTTGAGGCGAATGGGAAAAAAATGGGCGTCCTTCATTTATATTATAATAATTGACATATTTTATTTGAACGGAGAAGTCCCCGGGGCAGCTGACCGAAAGGAAAGCGGGTAAACCTGCCTAATGTATTTACCATGAAGGTAGCACTCCGGGGTGCCGCCCTAATTAAAGATTTTGAGGGACCGACGCCGGACGGGTGGACCTCTAAGTCTCCGGTTAAAAGGGTAGCTCCGGGCTGGATTGAATCCTATTCGAAAATTTTCTGACTTTCTCTTGTCCAAGCGATGAAGAAGTCAAGCTCGGCCTTAAAAGCTTTAAGGCTATTCAAGGTATTCTGCTACTAGTCCATGCATACTATATATATTTAATCAGAAGTAGCTCGGCTGGTATCTTCAAGCCCCCTTTGCCTGCTCTCCGACTACCAATAATAAGACAGCTACATTCTCATCTATCAACTCTTTTAGAAACCTAAATGCTACTTGCCTTTTAGCGTCGATGGACGATTTGCTTCGACTCCAATATCCCAAACCAGGCTCGATTACATTGACCTGACGCACTACCTTTTGAAGCTCGTCTGGATGGAACCTAACAAATCTTACCCTAAACACTAGTCCTCCCCTGTCCAGAGTGTCAATATCAAATCTTCCGCGAATAGTAGGAATTGAAGGGGATGTAACACAACTCTAACTTACTGGAAAAGAGGCTAGTACTTACTAGGACGAATCCTACTATTGCTACGAAGGCGCCCACTATGGAGACTTCCTGCAAGAATGGCCCTAGCCAAACCTCGTATGGAAACCTTACTGCTAGGGAGACCGTCCACTCTAGGGAGTATACCAATCCATTCTCTCGCTCTATGGGGAATTAATTTCTTCGTATGGACCAAGATCGAAGCACATTCCCCCGGGACCTCCTAGCGAAAAGGAAAGCTACTGGCTCGCAAGCATTTGGACATGAACTCCCAAAGGCTGGACCTGGTTCAAGTTTGAAACCTGCCCTGACTAGAGAACCAAAACTATCTACTCCAAACCTCCTAGGTCAATTACATCGAGCCTAATACAATACCTCTTTGCTCGTATCGAGCACTTTCCCTCTTACAGCATAAGGGTACTCAGACTAACTATTCTCTACTTCCACCAAGAAAGAATGCCAACTACTACAATGGCACAAGGGTCGATGTAATTGAGTTGAAGGAAATCTCTCTAGGGGAGCTTCCAATGGCTGAAACTGGTGGGGAATTTGCCTGCAATTGCAATCTAAACTATGTATAGGCTGAAAATTTGATATGCTTAATTGATTGCAACTTAACTTCCAATAGTGGGCATAGCATGTTGATCTTTTTAAAAGCACATTCTCGGATTCCCGGTGGTGGTTCAACTAAGAATATAAAAAGCGCGCCTCAACTATGATATAGTCTTCTTAAACAGCCTATGAAAGGTCGAGCATATACATAAAAATCGAACTGCTCTACTTTCTATGACTTCACTGCGCTTCGTTTGTTTGGTCACTCCTCTCAATTTCACCTTTCCTCTCCTTTCAGTCGAGACTCACTTTGCTCTCCTCTATTTCTATTTCTCCCAAAGAGACGGTTTTAAAGGTTCTTCAGTACCACATTTGCCTGGCTGTTCAAAGAGAAGGCTCCAGGAATCTCTCTTACCCCTTACTTTGACTTTTAGTGTTAAACGATTACCGCAGTAACTCAATAGAGAGATAGTTTGACGAGTTAAATCGAAGTCACAGCTAGACGTAGACGGTTGGTTCGGTATCATTCCTCTGCTTCTGATTCCGAAGATTAAGGGGTCGTGCTGCCCGGGGGAGGAGGTGGAAGACGGACCCTCCGGAGACGGATCTTGGACAACAAGCATCTGACCAATCTTACCCATGTCTTTCCCGAAGCCTCTCACTCCTTACCTTATCCCATAGGACACTAAGGCTTGCTTCACACCAAGGCTAAGGAATTATATCCCCCGTTGGTGGAGGAGCGACGCGAAAGGAGCCTAACTACTAAAAAGCTAGCCGCCCTACACTTAAGCTATATTTTAGGTCTCTGTTCGCCTTTTCCCGCCAGCTTAGCTATGTGCTTGGTGTTTAGACTGACTTTACTACCATATCTGAGGTCTCCGCCTACTCTACTTTACAGTCGAGATTCTTCCTCTCCGAAGTTGACTGAACTTCGCTTCTAAAGATTACACCTTTCCGAAGGAACTCTTTTCCTTCACTGCGCTTCGCTTCGTTCGTACACTCTTCCTTGTCTCGAGCTCCGAAATGCGTTTCCGGATCTGCTCCATAACTCTGCCTACTATCTGGGGATCGAAAGCAGGCGGATGCTCCCATAGCAGCCCCAGCATTTGCTCTTGTTGGAGCTTTTCGTTTTAAAGAAGGAAGGTTCGGTTCCTAGGTACGAGCTAGCTGGCTAAGCTACACCGTGCTTAGCTACAACCGCCGGTAAACAGTGGCTGCACCGTGCTTGCGAGCTAGGGTTTGAAAGAAGGAGTCTCGTCTTTACGAGCTTTATCGCTTAGCTACACCGAGGGGAACAGTAGCTGCACCGTGTTCGAATATGCGCTTTAATACAGCCCGCACCGAAGGGCTACAAGCGCGGATTCATTGCTATTCCCTCTGGGAAAGCAAAGTTTCATACCTTAAGATGGATCTCTTAATCCCTCTATACTTATTGTCTTTAACCTCATTCCCCGGAACATGTACCCAATCTTTCTCCCCTGACCACCGACGAGCGCTCACTACCAATCACCTCCCCCCATACCCGCGCTTGTTATCGCCTGTGTGCTGCGATAGTCCCTTCAGTAGCGGGCCTATCTCATCGGCGATAGTATTCAAGGCTATTAAGTCACGTAGGAAGTTTTGGAACTAGACTTTGAATAAGTCCTCTGAAAGGGAGTCAACTTCTGAGCCATCTTCCTTTAGCGGTCGAGGTGTTCAAAGACCTGGAAATGTATATTATTCACTATAGGCAATTTAGGATGCTAAATAGACAAGCCACGGGGTTTCCCTCGAAAGATTTGCTTATTTGCCCTCCCCCTTTTGGATAAGTATGTATTTGAAATCGTAATCAGCCATAACTCCCTCCGATAGAGGAGCTAGTAGTTGTTGTTGGCTCATCATCTTCAATGAGAGTTGACTGCCTTGCGTCATTTGCTATTGATCGATTAGCCCAATCCTAATATCCTCTCGTTCCGTGTAAAGTATGCCGTGAAAGTATGAATATCCGTAATCCTCAACCAATAAGGGCTTTGTTGTCGAGTTGCTTTCCTTCGTTAAGGTAGTTGGTAGTGGTACCTACCTGCTAAGCTATCCCTTTTTATTCTATACTCTATTTTTTGCCCGCCCTGAAGAGGACCCAGGAGTGAAGTAATTGGATTTAGGATGTCACTAGACGACTAACCCACCTTTCCGATACAACTTCTTTC